GAGGTCTGTGTCTGCCCGGGGAAATGGCACCAGGATGGAAACCGCCTCAAAATTTATCTTCATAAAAGAGGCCAAGGTTCAGCAATGGTACAAAAAAAGAAAAGGGGGAAGAAGGGCATCCCCAGTCCGGACCCAGAGGGTGATTGCCTTCGCATTGGCGTTCGAGGGATGGCTAGTTTCGTGAAAAGGTTGAATTGAAAGAAACCCAATTGTCATTTCTCGACTTGGCTGGATGTCCGTCCGCTCAAGCCAGCATGTCCAAGGATCCGGGCACGTGACTGGCTAATGCATCCATCGTGCAGGAACGAAACAACCTGGAGAAGGGGAAAAGAGAGAAAAAGGAAAAACGAACAAGCCGGCGGAAAAGGACAGAGCCAAGGGGGGGGGGGAAGGGAAAGAAGATGTGTCGATTTCCTGCCCAGCACGAAATCTGTCTGTCGCAGGAGGAAGGACTGTGGGGAAGTGAAGGCATATCATTGGCTGCCCTACAGTGCAGCAAGAATCTGCCCCATTATTTTTCGCCAGTTCGCTCGCCCTCTCCCGACCTTCCTTCATTTTTTTAACCAGATCCGGGCTGTGGACCTACCGTACCGGCACTCGAGTAAGAAATGAGAATATGATACCGGTACATGATTCAATCCCCCCCCCCACCACCCCCAATTTTCTTCGGTTCCCCCCCCCCAGAAAAATCGCTTATCCAACCTCCACACGCTCCAATTATAAACCAGTTCTTGAGGTTTCCGTCAGCTTTTGTGCACCGTGATACTGAGCCCACCGTTTCTACACAAATGCCCAACGTTCAGACACACGCTTTGTTTGTTTGTTTACACCATCTTCCCTCTGGTATCATACCGGTAAACACCGGCCAACCAAACAAAACAAAGCAACCACCATCCATGCCATGCCAGGACACAAGCCAGGCCAAACCCCGTCCCATCATCTCCGCCTCCGCCGCCGCTGTCCGTGTTGCATACGAGTAGATATATCCGACGCCAAACTGCCATGTAACCGTATCAGTCTAGATGATATGACAAACCCCTGTCCTGTTATTATTACCGGTGCATGCTTTCCTTAACCTACACGTGTAACATGCCGTATGATACAAGTATTTCTGCTCGTATCACACCCTAGCATCTATAAGAATCTCGAGTCCAAAATCCAAACCCTATTCGAAAACAAACCAAATCAACACACGGTAAGCCCGAGGAGCGAATGAAGGAGTGAAAGGGAACACACCATTGCTGTTTTATATCACAAACCTCACAAACCCACGCACCACAAGCACAGACGCACGCGCTGATGGTGGTATGCGATTTTACCCAAGAAGGGTATAGTTCACTCTCCACTCATTCTCTCTATCATACATGCCCTACGGTACCGCTCACCGATCCGATCCGATCAGCAAGCCAGAATTGGGGGAATGGACCGCCCGATTCCGACATGAAGATGCTTAGCCGACCCGGAGGGGGGGCCTAACTATAATACTGTACCATTACAGTACTCGTACTGATCAGTTGGATTTCTCACATACTCGAGTACCGGTATCAGGGACGCGGCGTCAGGACCCGGGGAAGTTGCATGGATTGGTGGAGGTATCACATTGGTATGGCAGGTGAGTGGGTAGGAGAAAAATGCCGTTGGAAAAGGAACTTTTATCCCTAGTTAGCCTCTTTCGATATAATATTGTAGACTGCTTCAAGCACTCGAGTACCGGTACTCGAGTAAGGACCTGAAGAGAGAGAGAGAGAGACGGATTTGACCTCCTGCCAATTGTGCAACTTTAGTAACAGCCGAGATCCGGTGCGTTGGATTTTTGTTTTTTCCTCACTCTCACGCTTTCAGGTGATTTAGGTTAGGGATAATATGTACCGTGCTAGTACCGTTCAGTACAAGCACGATGCCCACACAAAGTCTCTGAACGGTCAATTTGGGTTAACCTGTGAAATAATCCCTGCCTTGTACTTGTACGAGTACATAGTACAGTAGGAAAACATTCCCCCCGGGTATGATCCGGTACTTGTAAGTGTGGAGAGACAGACGGACAGGCGGACAGGCGGGCAGACATCTATTCGAATACCTGTGCAGTGCATGTACTGTACTCGTACCTTTCATAGGCTCAGGGCCCCCAAAAAGGCACAACTCATGAATTCATCGTGCTCGTAATGCGCTCAGGAGCGACAGAATCCGGGCCCTACGAGTTTCGGTCCAAATGTAAAGCTTCAACCTGTACTCTTCACTCGACCAAAATCCATCCATCACTCTTCCTCTCCCCTCTTCCCCGGCGCACGACAGGTGCCCGTACGCGCATGCCCTCCGTGTTTCTAGAAAACCTTCGGTTAGCACGCCTAAATCTTCATACTCAACATGCTGTACGCAGGCTACCGATACATCTCATCATCTCATCAGTCGATCAATCAGTCGGGGCTGTCGACCCAGCACTCCAGTCCGAATGAAAGAACATGGCCCCCTCCCCCTCTGCCTTTTGCTTCCTTCCAGGCTCAGGGCTGACTGACTGAATAGGAAGAGGGCTCTCATTACTGGTCTTACTACAAACAGCTGAAAGCATCCAAACATAGCAACAGACTTCGGATGCGAGATCCAGATTCGTCAAGCATGTCGACCACTATGATACGTCTCCCTCCTGGAAGCCCGGCTGGCAGACGAAACACAGACAGGCGCTGTATTGATGAATGCATTGGCGCTCGAGAAAGGTATTGTGGGCGATAAAGGCGGGTACCTGCCAAGACATTCCCGTTATCTTCCACCATACATTTCGTCTTCTGTTACCCCCATTCAACTGGAGAGTCTGAGGAGGACCTTCCGGTGCGGTACAAGAAGTTTCACATAGCTCGTTCTGCTGTCCAGCGCCAAACATCACCGGATCGATCTCGCATGCCATCCATACCGTGCACCGAACCATCCGGTCCCAGCCCCCCAAACCATTCTCAAATCCTTCACCCTCACCTCGGCAGATAGATGCCGGCATGGGGTTGCTCTCACTCAACCGCTCTCTCCCTCCCTTCGACGCCGGATTACTCGAGTAAAAGCGGCGGATTCAACTCCAGCATACGAACCGCCAAGAGACCGGGATGGTTTTTGCCGGAAGAGGTAGTTTTTTTCAGAACCCAACCAATGGATGACCCACTCCCCCCTCCTCCCGGGAAAAAGAGAGAGCGCCAAACAGAACTCTTGCATGTTTGAGATTTTTGTGACAGGTTTGAAGTTCACGTTGTGACTAAGCTCGCAGACGTCGCCGGGCTTTGCAAAAACCTGTTACGGTGGCGCTGAGGAAAAATACGGTACTCCTGCAGATGTACCGGTATCATCTGTCGACCGGCTCAAAGCTTCTGCCGCCATACCATGGTGATACGGTATTTATGTTGTGGTGAGGAGGGGAGGTTATCGTAACGCGGAGCAGTGATGGCTCGTATCGTATCGTATCGTATCGGTGATAAGCCCCAAGAGGAATAAAGAATGGAAAAATAAAAACGAAGGAAAAGGGATGTGCGGTCTAGTTTGATCACCGGTATATTTACGAATTGCTTACGGGCTAATCCGAGAAACAAAGGAGTTTTGGGGATGCTTTCCTCTCCTCCCTCCTCCTCTTCCCTTTCGGATGAACTCGCGGAAGGAAGGAAGGGTAATTTACTGGGCACAATATTCCCTGCTTAATCCTTGTATCTTGCGTCAATGCATAAGGAAAAACGAAAGACCTGAAGACGTGATGATTGGCACATGACCACGCTAGGCAATAAATTTCGTGTGTTGAAAGTAATAAAATGGCAATAGCATGGCTTCCCCCCCCCCACCCACCTCAATGCTAGAGGCTACACAGTGCGGTAGAGGTGAGCACGGTACGGGAGAAGCTGAGTAGAGCCCAAGAGTAAAAAAAGAGAAATGTACTTGTACTCGTACGGTAAAGTGAGAGGTGGTACAGAGGCAAGTTGAAGGTTAAAATGATGGCGGGAAAGACATTGTTATTGCTGAAACTGGGAAGATATCGATAGGAAATGGCAGGCATAGGCGTTGTCACGGAAACCAGAAGAGGGTCGATCAAATATCGCCGACAGCGCATTCCAACGGACGCTTGCCACGTCGTCGAGTAGCTCTTTCCCTTCAGAGGAGTCCAAGAAAATATATCTTCGCCTTCGAATTGGAGAGGAAGAAGGGACTGGGGCTTACTCACATACATACCGGGCATACATGCTCTTGTGGTGAAAAGTAAAAATGGTCATAAAAATATAATAAAATAGAAATAATCACTCCGTTGACATTTCCATACGATATTGATATATTCTTTTTTGCACTTTGCCCTTTGATGGAGGTAGCGGAAGAAGTGTAAACATCCAATCCACCCGCCCCATCTGCGCTCCGTGGATGGGGGAGGGAGAGAGGACGAGATACGGTATCGGTGAATAGATAGAATAGAAGAAAGAAAAAAGAAAAAGGGCACTTTCCGAGAGAGAAGAGATCCCTCAAACAGCCCTTTCGGCCATCAATGGGCTCTCTCTCTCCTCTCCCACCCCTTTGGAGTCCACTCAGGCTTTCCTCTTGCTCGAGCACAGGTTCACCGAACACTACCGGTACGGTACCGTAGTCTAACATCCCACTCGCACCATCCACAATTGGACCACCGGGTTGGGTTGCCTGTGGTTCAAGCCTCATTTTTTTATTTTTTTAATTCTCTCCTCCGATTTCCTGGTCGATCTTGGAGATTTTTGCTCCCGTGCTCAGTCTACAAAGGCGGGCGTCGCCTACTCGAGTACTTGTAGAAGCAAACTGCTCTTTTTACAGCGTACCGTCGAGGTCGTACCCCCCCCTATTGGTCGTCAACCTAGGGCGTTGCAAAGGGTTTTCCAGTTGGCCTCTGGGTGGACGAAACAACGCATCAGCAGCAGCGAGAGCGAGCAGTCCACCTCGTTGCCTGTGGTGAGTTTTTTGGCGGTTGCCGCAGTTCTGCTGCTGCTTTTTCAATTGTCTTTTTTTTTTTCTTTTTTTTTCCCTTCCTGATTCTGCTTGTCTCCCACCACCACGGCAACGAGTACGCCTACGAACCACACCAAATCCGCAGCAGAATTGCTTGCTGCTCGCACATTACAGAATTTGCACACAAGCAATAAACCCCGAATCTTTGTGTCCCTTTCAACGGAATTTTTTTTAACTCTTTCTTGCCCTTTCTTTTCCTTATTGCTTGTGCATTTCGTGTCGAGGGCTCTCTTCCCACCTTCTCGCCATTTTATTTATATAACCAAAGACCCGCACGGTCCCCACCTGGAGAGAGATCCTACTTTGATTCTCCCTCCCCGCCGCCCCGGGCTTGGTTTGGTCCGTTCACAATCCCTCGTCGTCGTCACTTATCGCCCATCAGTCATCATCCCAAGCTTGCTCTCCTCTCCTCTCCACTTCTCCCCCCCCCTCCCTTCTCCCCCTCGCCCTCTTTTCTCCTCACTCATCATCACCCATCCCTAACTTACCCTCTTCCCTCCCCTTACCCGCTACTCTCTCAAGACGCACTCCCAGTCCTGGCCCTTCCCAATCCTCCACTCCTCCACCCTTGTCATACTCTTCTCGTCAATCAATTGAGAGACCCTCTGCGAATCCTTTCGTGGGTCCGCCTTCTCCTCCAGAACACCCAGTTTCGTATTCTTCTTAAGAGAAAGCCACACCCCATCCGTCCATCCACCCACCCACACATCTTCGCACCCGACCATCCATCACCACCGCATCAGAAAACCGGCAACTGGCTTGGGTTCTGGACAGCGCATCCGCTACCTTGCCGCCCACTGCCTCCCACCACCACCTCCCACCCTTCCAAACCGTTAATAACGGTCGACACCGATACGCTCCCTTATCCACCCTTCTCGTTTGCTACCGCAGACTTGTGTTTGTATCATATAAGCTCGTCGTCGACCGCTGTCGCCCGCCCGCCGTCTCTAATCGATATCGTTGACGATACCGGAATCTCGTTATCGCTATCACCCCTAACTGCCAACATAGTGCGATAATAAGGACGGTGCCCTCTCCGCCCTCAGCTCAACCCTCCAGGCAACCACAAGGCAACCATAATGACGAACAACTACCAGCCTTATGTTGAGGATTATAATTCCGAACTCTCGGAAGCGGTCCCCGTCGTCCCCGTGAGACGCCAAACAACAAAAAGACCCTCTGGTTTAAATAAATCATCAACTGTAGAGGAAGTACCGGAGCCGAGTTACGAGGGGGTTTCTGATTCCGGATACTCGTCTCATTCGGTAGCGAGCACACCCATCACAGAGACACCACCACCCCCAAAGGCCCCAACACCAGCACCAGTACGAACACATCAGCCTAGCCGATCATCGTCGGGTCCAATACCGTCCAACCGGCCTTCAAGCAAATCCTTCTCTCGTACTGCTTCACCTGCGGTTCCTCGGAATATCTCTAACACTAACTCTGCCAGCTATGGGTATTCGAGCAGTTATGGCGCAGGGAGGGAGAGTCCGCCGGGTGGAGGATCTTCGGATTGTGATTGTCCGGATTGTGGGAAAACTCCTTCGAAATCGTCGCCAACAATTTCCAGTTCATCCAGTGCAACCAGCGGTGCGTGGCCCATCCACCACCAGCAGCAGTCGCCCTCGTATCATCACTCATCGCCGTACGGACAATCACCAAGCTACCCAGGATACCATTATCCCAAGTGCTATGATGGATGTAATACACCCACAGATAGTGCAATTTCCGATTCCAGCGCGGGAGCGAGTACGAGTCGGAGAAGCAGATCGTCCATGCCTCCACCACCACGACCGCAGTCGACGTTTGCAGGTTCGACGACAACAACCTCAACTCATAGTTCAGGAAGCATCCCATGGTCCCATACTAGCGGTTACCCTTCCGCAGGCTACTTCGATGTCCATTCCTCCACATCTGCGATCCCACCAGCTCCATCAACCACCTGCCCACCTGGGTATGGGTCATCAATGTATGCACCTCCACCATTGAATACGTCTATCGCTGCACCTCCACCACAATCGTCGTCATATTCAGACTCGCCCTATGCTCCCCCATCGGTACCGAACTATGGATATCCTCTAGCAACTGACTACACAGCCCCTGATTATTATGGCCAGAATACAGCTCCATCGACCCCTAACTCATCTCTTCCTCCATCAGATTATCGAGATGGATATAGATCATCAGAGTATAGTGCGATGCCCCCTCCTCCTCCGATTGTGAACCGTCGGAGCAGCATGAGGGCACAGGCAAATGCTGGTGCTTCCGCCGACTCGTCACCTGATTATACTCACTCGGTACCCTATCACCCACAAAGACGAATGAGTACTCGTGCTCACGGTGGTGAGAGGCCTCCATCTTGGTACGGCCAAAGCCAACAGCAGTACCAAGAAGCACCTGAACGGAGCTACTCCGTTCCTCCAACAAAAACCAGCGCCCCTACTGAGAGTTCTCGACGCAGGGGTGCTACCCCACAGCCGATCCGCAGAAGAGAAAGCAACAACTCACAAGGGACCTCGGGCTCTCATTCTGCCAGGCTGGGTCCTTCTGCACTTTCGAGGTCGCTGGAAGCCTGCACTATTGATGATCGTGCACCACGGTCATCTCATCACCGCCACAGCAGCGGCGGCCATCACTACGACACTCCTCACGCAGTAGCCCGCCGTGAGCCAGGCACTATGATGCAAAGCAGTCATAGCAATAGAAGTAGTGACTCTGGTAGCAGTAGTAGTGGCCATGACGGGAGAGAAGATCTGGTACAACTTACCGTACCAGATTCCGACGAACCATTCACAATGAGGTATCCTGCGGGTATCCCGGTGAAGCTGCAATTAAATGGTGGGACTTTCCAACAGATCCTTTCTTTGGGCCGCAAGAGCAAGAACGTGAATATTGAGAATCCTATAGCATACAGATATGTTCAGCAGAGACAGCAGCAAGTGCACGCCCAGTTGCAGTATGGGGCTGGTCAACTTGATCATAGCGATCGACGGACAAGTGCCGACTATCACCACCGGTCCAACGGTTATGCTCGCAGGGAGATGGCCGGTGTTTGAGTTAACTACGATCCGTCTATTGTCGGATGGGGGCAATTGTTGGCTGCCTGAACGGATGACGACCTCGCTTTGTCTTTTTCAGTAACTGTGACGTAAAGCACTGTTGCTGGATCTTGACGAGCAAAGAAGCCCTAGCAACCACGACATCAATAGACAATGATGAACGACGATTTGGACGAGAAGATTTCTTTTGTGCTTTAGTCTCAGCTAGGGGCGAAGCTTTAGTTCCTATTTTACGCGTGAGATGGCTCTTATGCTCCTTAAGTTTCCTCTTTTTTGCTTATTCCGCTTCTTCGCTTTCGGGTGGTGGGCACGCTAGCTTTGACTCATCTGTCAGTTGCGGTTACCACACTTTTTTTATTCATAGGCACGGCATATGGTGCCTTTTTGCTTTTGTGTTAATCATTCACCATATTATATTCTTATCATTTGGGCCTTTTTTTTTCTCTTCACTATACCTTTTATTATCACTACAATATGCTGGCGGCCATTTTTATTGCTTTTTGTCTTGGTTTCCTTCATGTTATTTTATTTGGTTGACTTGGACGCCTCGATATCCGGCCTTGGCACAAAAGCTGCTGGTTTCTGGGTATGGGGACGGGCTACAAAATTTCGGGCTTCGGCTTTTTCTTTTCCTTCTCTCCCCCTAATCCTTCTCCTATGTCTGTCAATTGGGGGTGTTTTTGGCTTTTTTCGGGTCTTTGTTTTCTTTCAGTCTTGTTCCTCTTGAGAGCTTTTTTGGGCAGGTGCTCTTCCCGGTATCCCCCTCATCAAGTGAGGGATGCTAAAATTTTCATGGCTTTTGGAGTGACTTTTCTTTTTCGAATTTGCTTGTCACAATATCTTCTGTTTTTCTTGGGACATCTCGACTCGAGAAAGAGGTACCGGTAGACGGATGGATAGCAAGAACTTCGCACTTTTAAAAAAGAAAAAGAAAAAACTTGTCCAGATGGGGTGTGATTGAACCCATCTCACAAGATTTTATTACTTGGATGGATGGAATTGAATAATTTGGAAATTTTCGCATATACTCTAAGAATTCTTAGTCTATCTACCCAATCTAGTGATTTCTTTTCTTTTCTTTCTACCTTCGTTTCCTATTATCTGATGCTGCGAGTTCGTTTTGGTGCTCGCCCCTTTTTTCACCTTCACGATGTTTACGAAGTTACGAAGTTACGACACCACGACCTTACTCCACTCTGCTTTTTTATTTATTTATTTTTTTAATATTCTTTTTATTCCATTGCAGAGCTGCCCACGATGGATTTCTTTTTCGAGTGATATCGGAGTACAGTACTGTTCTACGTTATTCGACTGCTCTTGTATCATACTATATTTTTCTACCGGAAGGGAGGCGGGAAGAAACCCCTGCAGAGTTATTTCTATGATCTGGTGTTGTATTAGTTAGCATTCCCCTTCATTCCTTTTGTCGCCTACAGCACCACCACACTAACCACTCATTCTTCCCTACTCTCTTCTACCCCATTCTTCGTGCGTGGGCTACCGCAGAACGGGTCACGAGCATTCGTTCACTCATTCATTCGCGTCTATCATACCTGTCTGCATGTATTCCGCTTAAATCTGCTCCTGAAGAGTGTGGTGTTGTACAAATGAATCTATTCATCTATTGAAATGAGCAATACGACATCTACTTTACCAGCTTGACATAACACAGATCGCTGCATAAGGGATGAAAGCAGAGAGGTGGGATATGCCCTGATGGGGTGTTGGTTTAGCGTATCGTCTATAGTGGGGTACCGTGGGCGGGTCGGGAAAGAAAGGAGCACACTTTGCGAGTACATAAGTTAGCTAACCAACTGGGAGGGGGGAAGAGGGAACTGCGCGGATATGGTGCAGCCACTTCGTGGCAAGAGCGGTATTGCGGTTTTGTGGAGGTTGGGGTGGGAGGTTGGGTCAGGGATAAAAAATAGGAAGCTGTTGCGATTGCTTTCTTTCCTTTAGGTCAGGGTGTGTTCGTGGGAGCGTATATATCAATCTGTCTTATGGATCGTCCGGATAGCAAGGAATACCAACTATTCAAGCCACGCATAATGCTGAATACCAATACACGTGTGTTCCCCTTGTCTTCCCCCTCCCCCATCCTCTCCGCCCTAGGCAACTCCCTCCGAAAGCCTCGTCTAGAACCCGGGAGGATTGATCCGCTGGCTCATCCTCGTCCACTTTGGCAACTCTGATCCCCCCGCAACCATTAGCCCACCCTCATCTTCCTTCCTGGGAATGCTGGTACTCACTGTGAACTCCCTTCCTATAACTCTTCTGCTTAGGATCAAACATGGTATACTTATCCCGGGGCTTCATCTTCGCCTCCGTCGGCATCTCGGTCTTCCAGCGCTCCACTGCCGCCGAAGTCATGCCCTGCTTTGCCAGCGCCTTGTCCACCACCTCTACTATTCCATCTACGTGGCGGAGGCGCTGTCGGTGGCGGTGTTTTTGGCTGGATGAGAGGCGCCAGGGTGATTTCCTTAGTAGGGTTAGCGTTACACTCGTGGGAGTGGAGGGGGAGGGGGAGGGAGTACCAGAGGAGGCCGCCGAGGCAGGATTGTGTTGGCCGGAAGGCGCTGAACATTTGTCGTCTGTAATTGGAGGGCGGGTTGGATATTTGTAGGATAATGCGTAGGCTGAGGATAGACGTTGAAACTTTCTTGGTAAGTTATCTTGGAGGCTCAAAATCTAATTGTTTATCTTAACCTTGCTTACTAAATAAGAAGGTCGATAACCGCCAAGTACAAGTACCCCACTACGGTCAAACAATTGAAAGGAAAAAAAAAGAGAAACACGCCCCGCCACCACTGCAAACACACATACAAATTAGCATCTCTAAGAAGGGAGATCATTGAGTGTACTACAGGAGAAGAGAAAGAAGGGGACCCCCTGTCCGCTCCCCCCTTGTGCCTGGTTGATTCCCTTTTCTTCCTTTCCCTACCGGATTGGCCGTTGACCCTACTTACATTGCGAATGGACCTCACGAAGGTTCATCAATGTTTCTTTCCCTCTCGCAAGGCATAAAGACGCATGCGCCCCCAATCACCCGTATATGCGTAACGCCACCATAAGACTGCTACCAACTTCCCGGCCGCAGCTGTCTTTTTCTTCAATGATTTACATCTGCACGCAATCTCACCGCCTTCGAACCGCTTCATCCTCCTCCTCCTCCTCTATGCCATTGCGGGAAACGGCGATACCGCAGAAGTTGCAAGAGTTGATACGCGAGCGGACATCGACATTTGACCTGTTGAAGGAGCAGTCTGACGTGGGCGATGTGAGTGGCCTGGGAACGAAGCTTGTTGACGAGCCCGGGTTGCGGGGGAGTTTCCACCTGTGGTGGAGCCTTCTGGGGTTCAAGAGGAGGGTGTACTCAGACTCTGGTGTCAAGGATATATGGAAGGGGCTGCGTATCCGGAATATAGACTTGCCTGTCCGAGGCTCGCGCGCAAGGCTCACATGGCAGGTATTTCTGAAGACCGGTTTCCAGGATGAGGGCTTCCTGGAAGAGATATGGGAGTATATCAAGGACCTTGACTCACGCAACCGGCGATGGACGGGAGCGTACCAGTCTATCGTAGGCCACTTTCTCGTTGCTGATGGTTCCAAGGCGCGAACATGGCACAAGAGATTGTACCCACGCCATGCGCCGTCATCCTGGCCGGGCTTTGTGAAGAGCGTGCTGAAGCAGAGAGTTGAGGCGCATGTTGAGTTGAGGGAGATCCATGCGGTCATTGAACGGCCGGCGGGACTGTATGGGTCCATTATTCCGTTGCTGTGCTCCATGGGCTTGTTCAGTGAAGCTATGAAGTGGCATCGGCATTGTATTTCTTTCGACGATCTCCCAGGAAATACTGCTACCGCGGACAAGCTCATTGAGTGGACAGCAAAGTACGGATCATTACAAGAGATGTCCGTGTTGATGCTCTCGTTTATACAAATGGGTGTGCGGGTCAAGGAGAGTTCTCTGATAGTATTGATTATATCTAGGCCAAAGAAATTCGAGGCTCTTGGGTTTATTCTTGCACGGGCAAACCATGTCGATAGGAGTGCAATGGGGGATCGGTTCTGGGCAACGGTATTGGGACAGGTCCAGTTGGCGACTTCGGCAGTTTTTCGGTGTATGCAGGCGTTTGGTGGAGGATTGAATGTTGGGCGGAGGACCGTGGAGGCTTTGAAGAAGCGGGCGGACTGTAGTAAGGAGAAAGCACTATCTCTTTTGGCAGAATTTGGGATGCATGTTCAGGGCGTGGAGATGGTGCCTGATGCGGAGCCTTCGGTGCTAGTGGGTAGATTGATGCGGCGGATAGACGCGAGAGGACTTGCGGGCATGGAGGAGTTGGAGCTTTTGCTCAAAGAGTCTCTGGGAGCTCGCAATTGGGAGGTGTTTGACCGAGCGCTGTCTCTACCCTCGCCGGGTGGGCCTACGGCCAAGGTATATGATTTGATACTCCAGTCGCAATTGAGGAGGGGAGCATTGGGGGATGCGATAAATTTATTGGACCATATGCGCAAATCTTCGATCTACATTTCCTCAACGTCTCTCAGACTCCTTGTCAAAGCGATTCTGCCACCGCGGCAGCGTTCCAAAAATCCCAATACGATGCCGGGCTACACAAACGACAACCTCATTGACCTAATTGGAATCCTGACTTCATTGCTCCGCTCTGGCATAAAAAATCTGGAGCCAACCCTTTGGCATGAGATCTTCAAAAGACTCGGCATGAAGCGGCGGTTATCGGATTTAGAAACCCTGGTCCTTGGCCTGGTGGAATGGTACCATCCAGCCCGCTCGTCGCTAACCCGCCAGCGCTTTTCAACCTTCAATTTTGACCTCCCGGAAGCCCTGACATTGCGCTCTGGTCCCCATTCGGCATCAGAAATCCCGCCCCTGAGTCCCCAAAACCCCCTCCGCCTTCTCTTCCCGCAACAGTTCATCCATGCGATCATACAATGGGGCTTTCTTACTTTCCGACCTTACTCTCCAGCCCTGCACAAATCAATACCACCACCGCCGCCTCCGGAAGTCCGGCAATTGCCTCGAAAATTCTCCGAGTTCGCCCCCTGCGTCGCAACCTTCACCTGGGGCGTAGCCCTCGCACGGGAATTGAAGGCCCTGGGAGTGCTTGTGGACACCCGTTCTGTCCTCCGTGCGGTGCGCACGAGATTCAATGTTCTCTACAACGCACCGGAAGCCAACGGACGGCCTATCGTGCTATCCGGGAGGATGATAAATCACATGGCGGTGGCACTGAATCACCTTAGCCTGGCGGAGATGGTGGAAATCACGGAGAGGGCATGGGGAGGCGGCTTGTGGCGGAGGGTCGGCTGGGAGAGGGGCGGAGAGGGAGGAGGAGAGTGGGAGAGGAATATGAAGAAGGAGGTCTTGGGCACGGGGATTCCGAAAAGGGTTGTTGAGAGATTGAAGAGGGGCGTTAAGGTTCGGGGGAGGCGGAGGGTTATGGTGTTGAGAGCTGGGAGGGGCGGGACTGGGAGGGATTTTGTAAGGGGGGGTGAAAATGGGGCGCGAGGAAAGATCGTATAATGCTGTATATATTGTATCATTTCGTATAGGCATGCGTTTAAATTTTTTTTTTGGTGGCACGGCGTTTAGACGGTTTGAGGGATGGGTGTTAGATTTACATCTGGTATCATAGAGGGTTGGTTGGCGAGGTGACACTTGTGCGTGGGATCTAAGATGTTACCTAAGTGAAGTTGGGGGTTCGTTGTGGTGGCGTAATCCCAATAGCAGGATATGGGGGAGAACATAATTATGATGTTGATCATAAGATGTATGGGGGAGCATGGCTGTATGTATTAGGACTATGAGCTCCTGGTTGTTGGTGTGACTTGTCTTGTGTGTTGTTGGGGGAACCAGCACTGTTAGTGGTGACTTCCTCTCTTTAGTGTATTTAGTCTTCTTTCGGAGCTTCTGGAGGAAGACAAGAACAACTCCTCTCTCCTCGCCTTCGGTCTTCGTCCACACTGTGATTTCTCTCCTCCCCGCTGCGCCCAATTTAGCCATCAGAGCCATCACATTGTAGAGTGGGTGGGATCGCTTGCCGGACCTGATACTAGTACAGTGCAACCCTTTCACCTGGTTTTATCAATAGAGAGGCGTGGGATCAGACATTGCACGAGAGCCGGTCTTATGATACAGGACTTGCAAAACCTTGAGACTTTGGTTTATGCAGGGTACGACCAGGATCTTGTCCGCAAAATTCTCATAGGGTCTGATGCGTCACAGGATCTCAGCAGTCTTCTATAGAGAGTCTGTAAAAGTTATCTCCGGGAGGTAAAAAGGGAAAAAAAGGGAAGGTCCTTTATGGAATCCGCCGTTACAATGATAAGAAGGATCACCCGTGGGAGAGTCGTCCCCATCTTGCAACCTCGGGCCGGAGGTGGTGGGGTGTCTGAGGTATCCCTAGAACTTTGCTGATGCGGGTGTACTTTATATGATACGGTTTATTTCGCTGCCATCCGAAAACCTGGCACGTAAACAAACAGTTGACTTATCTTACCATACTGTTGAGCATGCGGATGGGGCTTATAGGGTGGTACGTTGAAATTCGTGTCATAATTATGTCCCGCAGTTTATTTGCTATGGGGTCGATGATATTATTCAGTGAATGCTTGTATTTAGAGGGGGTTCATTGACCAGACAGGAGACAGGAGACAGGAGATGAAGATCGAGGATAGAGGGGAACACTGGATGCATCCTTTTTTTGGTAAGAATTCTCACCTTTCTTTTCATTTCCTGCGTCATCTTTGGGCACAAAGAGAAGATTCATCAAAGAGCTAGGTTATCAGTTGCCTTGTTATGAGTCCTTCTCTCCTCTGAATACCGTTATTCCTGCCAATATCCACAAAAGAATGCCAGGACAGGAAAGGGTCCAACAATACGATATACTAATTTTTGGGGCAGGTATGGAGGTGAGGTCTGTAGAAACCACGGAATCCTGGTGGTAGGGCACCGCCGGGACTTCAAAGTACTTTCTCTGTAAAAAGGCAGTTGGTTTTTTTGGGACTTCCGTGAGGGATATTAAGAGTTTTTTTTCTTGCTTTTTTGTATTAGCAAGACCTCTGCGTTTTGCACTCTCTGGTTTAGCTTAGTGAGCTCAAATATGCTACCATAAAAGGCGGCAATGCTGTTTCAAAACAGGTTAAACTAACCTGATGCAACTCCTGACTCTAACTTGCCGCTGGAGGGGTAGTTTTTTGACACTTAGGGAGAGAGACCCCTGGTGTGTAGGCAGGTATAGGCGCTCACGGAACATCACTCGCAGCCCAACTCAGGAAACTTAAATTGGCATAGCCAGCAACCTGGACCTTCTGCGAGAACAATCTGTCGAGACCCTTGGCACATGGTTCCTACTACGACAGCAACTGTAATACTATATCCACGGGTATCCTAGTTCCGCCTGACGACGTGGGCATTGTGCGTTACTCCCATCACACCAACCCAAAACCGGAAGAGGGAGAATCGGCGTGTCTCCGGATAAATGTGAACACCCTCTCACTCGATACTGTGTGATAGTATATCCCGTGGCTCTGCACTTGTGACGCCTGGCGAGGGGAGCCAGGCGGGATGCTTTGAATGGGGGGGGGGGCTTCGGCCGGTGTGAATGGTGTAGTGGATGTTATACATTTATCATGGTTTCAGATTGCCACTTGAAGGCACTGAACACTCGTGTGTAATCCAAATATACTTCCTCTCTTTTTTCTTTTTTTTTTTTGTTAAAGTACTAACATCCATCCTGGTTACGGTTATTTACTTATTTCTCCATATTGAAGATCGTGTAGATCCGTTGTTGGCGAGCTGTTGCCAATATCTGTGATTTTATCCCTTCCCGTTCACTTTCCACGGTACTGTGCCTCCACCCTCCACCCTCCACCGGCCCTCTGGCCGAGATACGTCACGGAATGGCCTCACGGTAATGCATTTATCCCTGCGGGGTAATACTCTCAAGCTGCGGGTTCTTGCCATTCCCTTAAATACTCTAGTCATTTTTGTCCGTTTTTTCTTCTTCTTTTTCGGGGTATAGCCTTGCCGGAATCTGTCAGAGGTATAGTGGGTAACATTTAATGTCGGGAGTAGGGTATCGGCTGGCGGTGTCACAGCGTGGTCCCCGCATATTTGGTCTTCCCAGGTTTCCGGGATCGGCTCTTGAGAGAGTATCAAAAAGGACACATGTCCCAGGAGCGGGGGGTAGGAGTGGAAGGGTGAGGGCGGGGGAGGAGCGAACGCCTGCTGCGGTACTAAGAGTCGGATGTTGGATTCTTCTCCGCCGTCGTAGATCATTCCCCGCCCTCTCCTGGGGCATCTGGTGGGCTTGGAGAAGGACTCTCCGTGTGGGGAGACGTGTGCGATTCCTTTGGATTTGAGGGTCACCTGGAAAGCCTTTTTTTTTCCGAAAGGGTTTTGTAACGTGGGATGGGAGGTACTCGAGTAGTGGGTTTTCTCGGGCGCCTATCTACTTCATTAGTTTGCTCTCTTAATTCGAAATAGCAGCTGGTTGATTCTGAATTTCTGGGATATCTCTATATAGTTGGAGATGGGTGAGCATGCTTATGGAGGGTGGCAGTGAACTCCTGCAAACCGCTCTTTCCTAGTCGAAGTCTGGACCCTGTTTGAGCACGTTGTAAAATGGCCTTTTTTGTGACATTTAGGGTGGTTTTGTCGCAAATGGGATATCTTGGCATCACACTTTCAGGATATAATTCCGCCGGTAGGACTCCACCTGGAGTATTTTTTTCCCTTTCATCACAGCCATCGGTAAGGGAGCCGCTATACAGTATGGGTGTAACATCTTATGCGGTCTATGACCAAAAAGATCCGAGTTTTAGCGGGAATTGAATTTTCAGGGAAAAGAAAAGTCGTTTTTTAATATTGTGAAGGGCTGAACAGGATTTTAGTAACATCATATTTCTCCTCTTTTTCCCCAAAGTCAGGTATGTCTGGCGACCAGGAAACGTTACGAAATATATATCCGATGGTGTGATTTACAATTGGACGAATTTGTGGAAGGAGTCCGAGGTCCTGCCGGTAAGAACTCGTGGAGGGGGTTGTTGTTTAAGAGTGTATACCGTGGCCATAGGTGCATCTGCCTTATTAGGTATTAGATAGAGAGAGATAGAGAGAGAGAGAGAGAGAGAGAGAGAGAGAGAGAGAGAGAGAGG